AACCACGGCAGTCGACAGCAGTGTTGAAGCAACAGCAGTCAACAGCAGTCGTGAACCCGCAGCAGCAGCAGTCAACAGTAGCAACAGCAGGACGCTAGAAGCAGGGGTGAAGTTCCAGGCTGATTGGGCGTTGAAGTTAGCTACGATGTGCTCTATGGTGTGTGGGGTTAAGGGTGACGCGACGACTTCTGTGCAGCTGAAAGAAGCTCTGGCTTCAGACTGGGAGATGTGGCTGGTGGTCTTGATACTGGTTATAGCTGTGGTGGCTATATGGGAATGCTTGAAGGGCTCTACAAAGAAGGTCGTGAGCTTGAAGGCGATGAAATCGGGAGAAAAGGCCGAACACCGTGAAGTGTTGGCGTTGCTGGCCAAGGCGAGGAGCCTGGAGGAAGAAGAGAGGCTTCGTCATTTGGCTGCGAAGTATTTTCCAGAGCGTCGTGAAGCTGGACCCGCTACATCAGTGCAGGTGAGAGATGGGGTGACCTCAGTGCGTGTGGGTGGTTTGGGCGAACCTGGTGGAGTTGGACCGAGGGCAAGCAGTGCTCCGGCCAATCGAGTGGAAGTTATATTCGTTCTATTTGGGCCCATTTTCGTTGTATCTGGTCCCGTTTTTTTGGTGTTTGCAGGTGGAAAAATCCAAATCTCTTGACACTGGCTTTTAAAGAACATAAATCATTCAGGTCTTTGATTGAAGCATGTACGCTTACTGCCTCAATGCATACACCTTAGACCTTAGGGTTTGGGCTCAAAACCTGTAGGGGCCTGGTCCTGGAATCCAGGACTTTGATTGAAGTATGTTTGCTGTATCTGCTTGGCGTTTTTGTATCATTTCAGCTCAAAACCTGTAGGGGCCTGGTCCTGGAACCCAGGACTTTGATTGAAGTGTGTTTACTGCGTCCGCTTGCGTGTTGTATCATTTCAGATGTTCGATTCCAGCTACGGAAGTATAATCTTTGGGGGGGGGAGGGGGGGCAGGACAGCCCAACAATGCTACAGGCTGCCGACATGCTTTAGGTCTTATAGGGTTTATAGGAGTTAAACATTTCAATGTATGCCATTACTCAGTTTTTTGCAAACTCAGCAAACCTCAGAGCGAGGGCTCAAAACCTGTTGAGGCATGGTCCTGGAATCCAGGACGGTGATTGAAGTATGCTTACTTATATATGCCCACTGTGATCTCTTGGCTGTCAGAGCCGACCAGGGACCATGACCGCCAGGAGCTAAGCCTTGCCAGCAAGGAGGGTCTAGGATTTAAAGTTTAGGCAGGAGGTTAGGCATATTGGTGAGGGCTCTCGTTAAGCCAGGCTCCCAGATCTAGGCCTTACGGATTTATGGGTCCAGGTCTGGGGGTTTCTGCTGAAGGGTACAGGGTTTTGGGATCAAGGGTTCATCAGGGAACTTGCCTGGGCTCCCAGCATCCCGGCATCCTCCTTTTGCCTGCCATGAGCGAAAGCCGACTGTAAGTTCGTGAGTTTCGGTTTGCTGTCCCTAACTTTACTGTAGGGCATTGGGCTTACTATTAAGCTGAGGCTGGCTTGTGGCTCACAGAGCTAGCTCAAAACCCTGTCAATAGGATTGAAAGCTCCGGGTATCATTCATCTCCACGACGACACTTACGGCTTAGGGCTTGGCTTGCGGCTTAGCGCTGCTTTTCCATCCTGCAGTGAACATATGAAAATCCCAAGCGCTGCCCTACAGGCCCTGAAACCCTAAACCACTGATGTTGAGGTACCCAGTGTTCCCACAGAGAGAACAAGAGTAGCGTGCGATGCACTTAGGGTACCCAAAGTTGGTTCCAAACCCGGACGCCTAAACCACAACAACGTGCCAAGCCTAATTCGGATTCAGATCGGGCCCAACCCCCCACCCCCTAAACCCTAACCTATGGGCTGATACTTAGGGTCCTAGGGCTTATCAGATTCGCAAAGAGATTCCAAGTAAAGAAGCAGTGGCAGGAGAAGGGGAGTTCGCGAGAACCACTGCGAGCATCTGGACACGGATGTAGCCATGCCAATGTACCCGCACAGTGAGCGGCAGCGACTCCGACCACTTGACTGGCAGATCAGGGTCAAGCCGCAGGAGCTCGACATTTACAGCGCCCAGCTGCTTGCGAGTCAATGCGTGGACGAACTGGAGCTCCATGGGCATAAGCACAGCGGCACACAGAAGCTTGTTCTGGCAAAGGGCTCTTAGGGATGCTGTCGGTGGTGTCCGGTGTCGCGGGATTCTCAGGGCCCGGCCTCTTTCGCGCTGGGCATTGAAAGCCTGGTACTCCGGGTTTCGGGCATGTTCCTTGGCCTTGACAGCTAGGGTTTCGGGCTTCGGGTTTGTGTGTGGGAGGCTCAGGGCCAGTTTGGGGCCTAAACCCAAGTGAAGGGACGCCAGGGCAACACAGGGGCCTGATCGTCGAAGTCAACCGTTGCGCTGGAAATGAAGTGCGCCGTGGCCTGCGGCCTGAAGGGGCGGCCTAAACTCCTCAAGCGGCCTGCCTAAAGTTAAAGCCTATAGGAGTCCTACATTAGGCCCTTCCTGCACACACAGAATCAGATGTCAAAGATGGTACGGGACATGGGACTTGCTCGCACGACGCTTCTAGATTTTGAAATTTTTAATGTCATCTACATTACATGTCAGCCAAGACACTGACTCATATTAAACATGGAACTGCACGGACCAGCCACTGCTTTAGCTTAATCCGGGCCCCGAACGGACCTATTTTCTGGGGACAAACTCACGCTGGCCTCGGGACACTGGCGTTTAAAGAACATAAATCATTCAGGTCTTTGATTGAAGCATGTACGCTTACTGCCTCAATGCATGTCATGGTTCAGCTTTTCTGCAAACTCAGCACACCTTAGACCTTAGGGTTTGGGCTCAAAACCTGCAGGGGCCTGGTCCTGGAATCCAGGACTTTGATTGCAGTGTGTTTACTGTGTCTGCTTGGCGTTTTGTATCATTTCAGCTTAAAACACCCTGAAGCGCTGAACCCGGACAAACAAGGCAATGATTGAAGACACACTAAGGCTTGAAAGACCGAGGCTGAACCCAAAGATTCACCTGACATGGCGTAAACCCTTAAGCCAAAACCCTACACCCTAAACCACACACCTACAGTGCTACAGGAGAGAGGGAGAGCGCGTGTTTCCCCATGTGTCTGTGAGCGCCACATGCACACACATGTAAAAAATTGCAGCACACAGAACCAAAGCAATCTGTTCCACGGACGTCTCCTGCGACAGCGAACAATTGTTAATTTCACTGTGCTGGTTCTGTCGCGAAATACGTGCTTTGCAAAGTGATGATTAGTCAATGGTCGATTCAGAAGGTATGCCTGTGCACAAGCAAGTTCTTTTGAGCTGGCTGCGCATGTTCCCTTAATCCCAAGCCTCTAAATCTAAAACCGCCAAAGACCCTACGCCCTTCAGGTCCTAAGACCTAAATTCCAGGCACTGTCAGGATGTCAGGTTGGTCCATGGAGATTTGAACCCCGAAAGGGGTGCATCATGACCTCGCAAGAGGTCACCAAAACCCCGCAAGGGGTGTTATTTTTGAACCCCGAAAGGGGTGCATCATGACCTCGCAAGAGGCCACCAAAACCCCGCAAGGGGTGTTGATTTTTGAGCCCCGAAAGGGGTGCATCATGACCTCGCAAGAGGTCACCGAAACCCCGCAAGGGGTGTTGGTTTTTGACCCCCGAAAGGGGTGTGTCACGACCTCGAAAGAGGTCACCAATACCCTGCAAGGGGTGTTGACCTAACCCTGTAAGGGGGAGTTCACCTAACCTCGAAAGAGGTGGTGCCATTTTTTTCTCATTGCCAAGTGAATGATCCCTCACAGAAGTCTTCTTCTACGAGGCCAGTTGACATGTCTAGACTCGAGAAATGCCAACATTGAAGCACGCGCCCATGATGATGCAAGAAGCCGAGCTTGCCTTGGACTCAGCGCACCATCACAGCAAGGCATACCTATATCTGAAATTTTCGGCAGTCTAGATATTGTCGCATGTGCGCATTAAGTTTTCCTCATTTGGCAGCGCATCAGTGACCAATCGAATCTCTGAACTCAAAAACAGCGGCAGCAAGACCTTGCACAGTCGTGTTTTACTTTCAGCATATGGCTGGAAATTCACTCATCTCGCAGCTGCCCCGTAGGATTCTGAGCTGAGAGCTCCCATGGTGAGGGGAGCGGCTGGTTCTGGTCTGGTGCAGAGTCTCCTGTTGTTTGAGAGCAGCTTTTGAACTTAAGCTGCAACTCAACAAAAACAACAGCTCAGATATGACTGACATATCTCTGCTTTTGCTGAATAGACGCAAGACAAGATAGACACGCATTCACGCCATCTCTTTTCAACTGCGTTTCTTGCCCTCGACCGACGCTATCAAATACCTAAGGAAATCATGGGCATGGGGCGCGATTGCAAAACGACGAATAAGTCGCTCTGCCGCACCATCCGAGGCAATGCTCCTGGATGTAGTGCCCACGGACAATGGAGTAGTCTTCGCGCGTGTCCCAGTGGAAGCCATAGTCCCCAGTGTCCTCTGAGATCGACTGTGACGGGGATTCGCCTCCTGCAGGGACCACCATTTCGATTGTATGACCTCGGCAGGACACATGGCCCCCGCTGATTTTGCTGCCACCCAAACGGCTGCAATATGGACACTTCCTGATGACTGGATTATCTGATCCGTTTTCGCACCGTGCTTAACACTCTGCGTAACATCATACAATACTTCCAGCTTGAAGGTCCAGTATATGCCATCACCAGTCATAGGAAGCCAGTAGTGGTAGTTTCCCGATTTGGCGTGGTTGCAATCGCTGTGGAGGTAAACTCCACGACGATCCTGCAACACGCGGTGCCCCTGCTCTGGATTGGTGCTGACAAAGATTTCCCCATGGAATAAGACAGTGTACAGCCCTTCGAGCCTGCAGCTGTGCCATCCTTTGCACCACCATCCTTCTCGAAGGGTTTGTTGTTTGAAAGGACGCCAAGCCATCCGACACTAGTCACCTGATTTGCTGGACAGGAGGATCAAGGAGCAGGCCCAACTTGGTGGAGTAGGGCTAAACCGCTTCACGTCTTTGACAGTAGCCTTTGCCTTTGTAGCGGCGGATGATGCCTTCTTCGCGGTCTTCTTGCTCCATACAGAAAAACGTCCCGTCGGATTCTCCGCATTCCATTCGAGAGGAGAACCACATGCTTGGTCACTGTAGAGAGGAAACCGATACTCTTTGAGCAAATCTATCACGCTGGTATCTGCTACCGGATCCGTGGAGGGCGCCGAAGGTGGTGCTGCAGTACAATGTCGCCTGGGCATCGACGGACAGAAGGTGCTCCTGTCCGTCGGCCTGCTGGGATGTGCCGCGGAGATGGCGTTCTTGGCGGAGGTGATTTCACGCCTGCCTGTCGACCTGCTGGGATGTGCCGCGGAGACGGCGTTCTTGGCGGAGGTGATTTCACACCTGCCTGTCGGCCTACTGGGACGTGCCGCGGAGATGGCGTTCTTGGCGTAGGCGATCTCACGGAGGCACTTGGGGTACTTCCACGGCCGCGTGAGCGGGACCGAGATGGCGTTGCGGGCGTAGGCGATCTCACGGAGGTACTCGCTACGGCTGCGTAAGCGGGACCGTGAGGGAGTTCTCTCCGTCTCCATCAATGAAATTGCCACCCCTGCTCTTCTCCTTGAGAGAAGCTCACGTGGTGATAAACTCCATGACACAGGGAAGCCGAACGGTGCATGGCCGGCCTTCCTGAATGAATACCCTCGAGCCATGGTGGCACACCATTGTATTCATGGCAGATGTACTCAGGCTGCATGCAAGACATGCTGCAGCAGCGCCCTGTTGGTATCACCAGCGTGCCACGCGCGGCTGTCCTGGTCATGGATGGACGAGAATGCCAAGGAGTCAAGCAGGCACCTGTCTCAGTACGCGCACGCAACAGGCTCTGAAAAGTAGAAGGCCACCCTGCTGAGAACCCTTCGCTGGCAGGAATGTCAAACCTGCAAGTGGCCTTGCTTGCACTTGCAGCCACTTCCCCTCTGCGGGAGCTCGTGAACGGTCCCGGTCTTTTTGGTGTTTTCAGCTTTAAGTAGTGGAAAAATCCAAATCTCTTGACACTGGCTTTTGGAGAACATAAATCATTTAGGTCTTTGATGGAAGTGTGTATGCTTACTGCCTCAATGCATATCATGGTTCAGTTTATCTGCAAACTCAGCGCACCTTAGACCTTAGGGTTTGGGCAACCTGTAGGGGCCTGGTCCTGGAATCCAGGACTTTGATTGAAGTATGTTTACTGTATCCGCTTGGCATTTTGTATCATTTCAGCTTAAAACCTGTAGGGGCCTGGTCTTGGAACCAGGACTTTGATTGAAGCAAGTTTACTGCATCCGCTTGTGTTTTGTATCACTTCAGCTCAAAACCTGTGGTTTTCCGGCCTTGGGCCTGCTGTTGCTGCTGTTACAAAGAACAGTCGAACAACAAAAACACTTGAAGCATCAAGAGTTTTTCTTCAACTGTCATGTTCTGCTCTGCGGCATAGGGTCTCGGGTTTAGGGTTGAGGGTAAATTGAAATCACATTAACCTCATGCAGGCTGACTGTCACTCTTTGCCATGCTGTTATGAATGCTCTCAATGTTGGAGGCTCAGGGTTTTTCAGGTTTTGGCCTTTTCCAAAACATGGGTTTCTGTATGGGGAGCTGCCTTTTCATGCAGTCAGAGCACGCATGCTTGTTGGAACCATAACTGACATCATCATCAATGAGTCTGAAACACATGGGGGGCACAGCAAGGCAGGGCCACGATGATCATCGAAGCTGGCTTGGGCTTGGAGTCAGGGCAGGGTCTCAAACATTCAAGTTGCAGACTTCTCAAGCATTCTCAAGTGAACTGCTGTCATGTGCATGCGGGCAGCGTTTCTTTTCAGCGGCCACCGGTCTCCTGTTTTTGTGCTAACTGGTAACTCAGCAGTGGTGGGTGGCCAGCCATCTTCTGATTGTTGGCTATGTGTGCTTTGCGTGGCAGCGGCAGTGCCTGTGGTGCTTGCGGTGGTCAGGGCGGCGGTTGCGGCGGGAGGGTGTTTGTTGGTGATGGCAGCAGTGGTTTTCAGGGCGATTTGAAGGTAGCTAGTCAAATCTGCCCTCGGGGCCATGTGCCATGTGCCTGCCAATCACTGCACAGTGTCTTGCAGAGGCCACGAAGTTGTCAAGGAACCCCTATTTTCCAGATAACAGCCTACTTTAGAAAGCTGATGCTCACTGGCCTCTAACATCTGGAAGAAGTTGCTCTCAGCCGATTGGCCGCCACTCACCGCTTCTCTGGCAGGAGGGTCCTGCCCAAGAAGCACGAAATGAAACCAATTGCATCATGGGGGGGGGGTAGTGGCCTTGTGCTCGTGGGTGATCGCGATCTTCCTGCCAGGAAACTAAATCGAAAGCAGCAGCAAGCAGAAAGGTGAGTCCAAGGGGAGGCCTCTCTCGCAATACTCCGGGCTCGTTGGTGTCCTAGGACTAGTGGGGCTCAGCGGCTTGGGCAGGTCCTTTCCCCGGAGCGCAAGACATCCAGGCGACTGAGCAGAAGCTGTAATGAAAACCAACTGCCCTGCCTTCCCTGGGGACTTGGAGCGCGCATGCTCCTGGAGGGCAATTGGACTTGAGGCTGGTTGCGTGCGCGCTGCAATACTTCGCAGCTCCTCTTCGGATGGAGCAGGTGGCAGGCTGGGGCACTCGATGGTGGGGCACTCGATGGTGGGGCACTCGCAATCGGTGACTGGATATTCGTTGTATTTGGGTTTGGAAAAAAGGTCTTAACAATGAAGCAAAACCCAGAAAAGTGACACCTGCCAGTTTCAAATGAAACAGGGCAGGTCCTTTGGGGTCAGGTACTGGTGGTTTCCACTTTCCACTCCACTTGTTACTCGGGTTTCGGGTCTAGGGGTTTAGGGCCTAAAGACGAAAAGCTCTGGGATTCTGGGCTGAAACTGACTTGTTGGGCCGGATTTGTTGGGCCGCCCCCCGCCCCCCTCTGTCCAAGCAAGAACGCATGACTCGAGCCTGACCCTGAACAAGTTGAGGACGCAATTGTCAAAATTGAACAGAAAAACTGACATGGTACCTGTTTTGCATGAAAACTCAGGTCGCAATCAGTTGCGTTCTGTGTTTTTTGCATAGGGAATCCCATGTTTGTTTTCCATGATAATGCTGTCTCACATTTTCAGGAAAACTGAAATGGTACCTGTTCTGCATGAAAACTCAGGTCACAATCAGTTGCAATCTGTGTTTTGGCATAAGAATCCCATGTTTGCTTCCCATGATAATGCTGTCTCACATCTTCAGGAAAACTGACATGGTACCTGTTTTGCATGAAAACTCAGGTCGCAATCAGTTGCGATCTGTGTTTTTGCAGAGGAACCCCATGTTTGTTTTCCAGGATAATGCTTTCTCACATCTTCAGGAAAACTGAAATGGTACCTGTTTTGCATGAAAACTCAGGTCGCAATCAGTTGCGTTCTGTGATTTTGCATAAGAATCCCATGTTTGTTTTCCATGATAATGATGTCTCACATCTTCATGAAAACTGAAATGGTACCTGTTTTGCATGAAAACTCAGGTCGCAATCAGTTGCGATCTGTGTTTTTGCAAAGGAATCCCATGTTTGTTTTTCATGATAATGCTGTCTCACATCTTCAGGAAAACTGAAACGGTAGCTGGTTTACATGAAAACTCAGGTCGCAATCAGTTGCGATCTGTGTTTGTGCATAGGGATCCCATCATGATAATGATGTCTCACATCTTCAGGAAAACTGAAATGGTGCCTGTTTTGCATGAAAACTCAGGTCGCAATCTGTTGCGATCTGTGTTTTTGCATAGGCATCCCATGATAATGCTGCGATCTGTGTTTTTGCAGAGGAACCCCATGTTTGTTTTCCAGGATAATGCTGTCTCACATCTTCAGGAAAACTGAAACGGTACCTGGTTTGCATGAAAACTCAGGTCGCAATCAGTCTAGAATTCTGGGATGAAACTGATTTGCTGGGCCGCCCCTTCCCCCCACCTCCCCCCCCTCCCCTTCTGTCCAAGCCAAAACGCATGACTCGAGCCTGACCCTAAACAAGTTGAGGACGCAATTGTCAAAATTGAACAGAAAAACTGACATGGTACCTGTTTTGCATGAAAACTCAGGTCGCAATCAGTTGCGTTCTGTGTTTTTTGCATAGGAATCCCATGTTTGTTCTCCATGATAATGCTGTCTCACATCTTCAGGAAAGCTGATTTGGTACCTGTTTTGCATGAAAACAGGTCGCAATCAGTTGCGATCTGTGTTTTTGCATAGATGGGGAGCTGGTGTGGTTCAATTTGTCCATAATATGCAATATATGTGTGTTTGTCTCATGTGCGCTGGTAGTTCTTCGGCGACTAGCACCCTCTAAAAAAGGAGGGTGCACGTTATGTTGGAGAAACAAAAACCGGGTTTAGCATTGGGTTTAGCTGGGGTCTCCCAGGGCCGAAACACATATATAATAGATGAATGAGTAAAGGGCAGGGAAGTATTCTAGTTTAATTATTATATACCTCTAGACAGGTTTATGTACACATATATAGATATACACACAAGGAGCCAGGCAGCGCTTTTGTTTTACAGTTCTGTCGGGTTGATATCTCGCGTGTGCTTTTTGTAATGTTACATTCTTGGCAGCCGCCGCGGTGATGTTGCGCAGGCCCCTAGCCCACTACCTTAACCCCTAACTTATCAACTGCAAACCCTACACTGTAAACCCTAACCCTAAAACCCTAAGCTGCAAACCCTTAACCCCTTATTCTGAACCTCATCGACTCCCTACACCCTCAAACTTAAACTGTTAAACCAAAAGCAGTAAAACCTTAACAGTAAGTCACCCCTGCGCCCCCCTTGTCAGAGATGACTGCGCTTGGAGGAGGTCTTTCTCGAGCTCGGGACCTCCGTAAGAAGTTGTATGTCACGTGGGGCATGAGCATGGGAGGGGAGAGGAGGTGAGGGAGGGAGGGATCTGGGGGGCTGGAGTTTTTTTTGTCATCTGCATTTACACAGCCACTGCTCAAGTGGCGCCACTGCTCAAGTGGCCGTGGGGCATGAGTGCGGAGGGCATGGGAGGGGGGGAGGGAGAGGAGGTGAGGGAGGGAGGGATCTGGGGGGCTGGAGTCTGTTTTTACATCTGCATTTACACAGTCACTGTTCAAGTGGCCACGCGTGTCATGTGGGCATGAGTGCAGAGTTATGGGGAGGCGGGGAAGGAGAGGAGGTCAGGAAGAGAGGCCAGTATCAGTTGTTCGCGGGCGGGTCTGCTGTTTAATAAGATCCGGCTCTCATGCCTCTTTAACTCCCCCACAATGCCTGAAGTCCTGGATTCCAGCACACAGACAATTTATCCTCGGCCCTCAAAAAGAGGTTCCCAGAAGGAGCCGTGAGTCCTGGCTTCCGTGGCTTGTAGGGCTTGAGGGTTCAACCTTTTCAAAAAAAGCAACACGACCTTGAACTTTGATTCTCACAGGCAGCCCCAAAAGCAACAAGAGCTTGTCTTTGCATGGATTTCTAAAAGGACGAAGCCCACGCAACGAAAACAGAGCAGGGAGGCCCCATAGTTCAAAAAAATTTGGTTCATGAATCCTAAACCCTTTCAGCCCCAAAAACAACAAGACCTTGAAACTTTGATTCTCACAGGCACCACAGGCGCTTGTCTTTGCATGGATGTCTAAAAGGACGAAGCCCGTGCAGCGAAAACAGAGCAGGGAGGCCCCA